GCTAAACTGCAGAGCACAGCTGGCTGGGAGAGGGCAGCGCTGCTAATCCTCACCCGCAGCCTTCAGCTCCCACAGGTCTGGGAGATGAAAACAGCACAGGGGAAGGGGCAGAAACTTTCCAGGGAAACTCAGCAACCAGGCGATTAGATAGATACCACTCCCGGGGCAAACGAGATACATTATGGGGATGTCAACTTTGTGGCCTTTTTATCTGCCCTACACTGGGAGTTCCTGGTTCCAGAAAAAGAGAATGGTTGTCTTTGTTTCATTTTGCTTTGTTTTTTCAATGTCAGCGGCTTGTTCCGTTTTCTGGCTTATGTTTGGTTCTTTTGAACGGGCTAAGGACTAAGAGAACCAGAGTATAGACTCTGCACTGTGCAGGGTCAACAGCACAGGGAAAAACCCCAAACCACGCAAAAGCACATTCGGTCACTAAATGTCACCCTAATAAACTTCCCTGTTCCATTTAACAAGATAAAGCTACAAGAGCTTTGGAACCACTGATACAAATGACACTATTGCTATGTATCAAAAGATAATATTATGAGCAAACCCATAAATGTGGTAGGCTGTTGTATTTCCATATTATATCAAACTTTAAAGCAAAGGACTGTTAAAATTATTTGTATTCTGCAAAAGAATGGGCTTCTTAAAAAATTACCTGTAAACTTTTTCTAAGACCACTTTTTTCTTCTACAATTCCACATTTTTATCTTTTCTTTCTTTTTGAGTCTCACTCTCTTGCCCAGGCTAGAGTGCCATGGCATCAGCCTATCTCATAGCAACCTCAAACTCCTGGGTTCAAGGAATCCACTTGCCTCAGCCTCCCCAGTAGCTGGGACTATAGGCACCGGGCCCAACGCCCAGCTAGTTTTTTCTATTTTTAGTAGAGGTGGGGTCTTGGTCTTGCTCAGGCTGGTCTCAAATTCCTAAGCTCAAGGGATACTCTCTCCTTGGCCTCTCACCACACCTGGTCTATTTTTGCATTTTTTATTTCTTTAATCTCTCTTTGAAAGGAAAAAAAGACAATGGACATTTGTCAGACACTCTTTCTTCCTGATGGTTTTCCACAGGAAACAAAAGAATTACAACACTGATCTTCTCAGAGCCCATTTCTCCAGTCTTCCTGATTCCTTAGAATCAGCACAGCACTCTGCCCAGAGTGGACACCCTCTCCGGGAGAACAGGAGGGACAGGTCAGCTCCCCAGGCTGGGCGGGGTTAGGGACAAGCTAGAGGTGGTGGGAACTTTACTGAAGGATGTAACAGTGGTTTTCAAAGTGTGGTCCCTGGGCCAGCAGCTTCAGCATCACGTGGGAATCATTAAAAACACCCACACTCAGCCCCTCCCCTCCATCTACCCAATTGCAAACTCCACGGGTAGGGCCCTGCCTTCTGTGTTTAACAAGTCCTTCCAGAAATTCTGATGTAAGCTTCAGTTTGAAAACTTCTGGGAGGCAGGAAGCTCCTCGGACTTAACTCTTAAGGACGGTCAGGCCAGATGAATGGGGGTGGAGGGGGTGAGGGGCTGAGACCAGGAGGCCTAGGTTGCGGTTCTGTTCATTTCAACCTGGGGGCAACAGTGTAACCTCCCTGTCCGCAGCTTCTCCACATAAGGGCGGCTCACAGGTCTGCTGCTGGCTCAAGTGAGAGGGCCCAGAGCAGCCACACTGCCCGCCAGGACACATGGTACAAACACACACAAGTCTCTGGTGAACAGGGCCCCTTCACGAGGTGGCCAGATGAGGCCACTTGATCCACAGTAAGGCCTCTACCCACTTGTCACTCCCAAATGACTCCTTTCTGACTCCCTAAATCGGGGCATGCAGCTGACTATAGTGCCAATTACTTGATTTGGACAAATCCGAAAAGAACCAAGGAGCCAAAGGTAGCTGCAACATGCCCTTTATTCAACTTGTGGCAGCCAGCAAGCAGGCATGGGGACACCCGCCTTCATTTAGCTTGTGGGAGCAGGAGAGCTAGCACAGGCAGCATCTTTGCCCCTCCCCAGGTGGAAAGCCTTGGTGCCTCATATAGTAGCCACAGCAAATTAAACACTAATGGTGATTACTTATGAACACTTATGCCAGCTTAATCAGTTATTCAAAATAATCGTGCACCTCCTGGCCTTCAGGTGCAAAAGCTGCATTTAACTCATCTTCCCTGCACTGACCCAGAACCCTTCCAGGCCTTTACTTACCTGGGCACAGGCTTTCCTCTAGGGGGAAGGGCACAGGTATGGGGCATCTGGTCCAGGAAAGGGGGTCTTTAAGCAGGACCCACTCAGCTCTGTGTTGGTGGCCTCTTATGGCTACCAGCTACCTGATCTTGGCTCCGAGAGGCCCAGGTCCAAGCCTCCTGACTTGTCCGTAAGTCCCCCCTACCCTGCCTCTAGGACCATGGCCTCCCTATCCTAGCCTCCCCTCCACTGCGGGGTGATCTCTGTAATTACTACAGTAGCACTCCCGATCCATCAGTGTTACCCCAGCTGGAGTGCACTTTGTAATCTGCCAGGTGCTTTCCCCATTATCTGTCTGATGCCCTTCACCCCACAGATCTGGGAAACCTGCTGAGGTCTGCTGCCTTCCCTGGAGGGCAGCCTGTTTTACCCCAGAGGCCAGAAGCAGCTCCCGTTACAAAGCTCTGGGACTCCTGTCCTCATAGTTAAGTAATGGTGGAGAGGCTGAAAGCTGATCTCCAGGGACACAGAACCCCTTCCCTTTGGGAACACGGGATTTTGTAGAGCAGGTGCTGCTGCTAAATGTCTAAACCTGGCCCTGGAGTACTCTTGGGCTTCAGAGCGGATGGCCCTGGCCTGGCTGGCTTGTTCCTACCTCACCCCCCTGCACAGCGCTCACCTGGGGATAAGGACTTGAACTTTTCCCGTCAGGGTGGCTCTGGGAGTTTCCCTCAGCCAGTGAAGCCAGGCCTCTGGGGTTTCCTGGGCTGGGCAGGGCCAAGCCAGGTTTCTCCTCCAGCAGTCCTGGTGCTGGTGGCTGAAGACAGGCAGAGTCCAGGACAATGACTGCAGCCCTGCCCCACCAAGGCCTGGGGTGAGGGTAGGGTGCCCAGAGGGTGAGTTCCCCCAGCCAGGCCAGGCCCCACTACACAAGGCTGTTCCTCAGCTCCTCCATCCCAGCCACCTTCCTCCTCCACAAAGGGCTGTCCCAGCATCTAGACTCCTGGAACGTTGGCTCTCAGGTTCCCAGGGATGGGTCCTGGCGGTTACCAATGGCCAGATGAGCTGGGGAGCTGGGCCCTGGGTCTGGAGGCTGGGGTGTCCTCCCCCAGTTGTTTTAGGCACAGAGGAACAGCACAGCTGTCTCTTTAAGGTGACCCCCCCCCAGGGGCACACTGAGGGATTAAGGCCTTAGAAGAGCTTAGGAGCAGGAGTGGGCGAACCAGGTCGGCTCCTCTCCCAGAGGATGCCAGGACAATGTACAAATTCTTGGGCAGGGCTAAATTTAGGGGCAGAGGCTGCTTGACACAAATGTGCCTTTTGCTGGGGCTGTCACCCACCCTCTGCAGGGGACAGAGTGCATGTCCAAGGACTGGTTTCCCTGAGCGCTGTCCTTTCCCTTTTCTGCTGCAGCCCTGCTCCCAGGGGTCACCCAGGGCTGTGGGGCTGCCTGGAAAACCAGCCCAAGATATGGGGGCTTCGAGAGAAGGTGAGGGAGGCATGGGGACCAAGGTCAAAACTTGAGAAAACTCTGGTTCCTTGCCATTTGTCTCTGTCACTCAGCCAGAGGCTCAGCAGAACAGCTTTTTCCTCCCCCTAAAAGTCAGACATCTCCTCTGGCCAGCCCAGCACAATCCTTCACTGTGAGCCCCAGCTGGAGTCCCGGCCCACAATCCAGAGCCCCAAGGACACATGGCTGGGTTTCTGGCAAAATCTTAACCACCCATGGGGCTCTTCACTTGTTTTGGAGGAGAGTTTTTTCCTCTTGACATTTCCGGTACCCCACAATACTCTGTATGCAGCACTTAAAATGAACATTAAAAATACACTGGGGCTGCTTTTCCATGTTCAAGGTCTCCTTTGACAAACGGGGAAGTGTTCCGTTTTCCGGAAAATGAATAGTGTTTGATCTCACAGCCACCCCACACCCCTCCTTTGGTTCTCACCCCCATCCCTGCTGCCCCTCCTGGCCCAGAAAGTACAAATTGCCACTGTGTCTCAGGCAGGGCTACTGCAGCCCAGATCGGGGGGCCAGCCCTCCAGCATCACATAGCCCCTTGGTGTGCAGCTGAGCTGGCTGGGATCTGCTTGGGAAATGACCACCCTGACCTGAAGGCTGGGTCTGTGTCCCGCCTGCATCCCCGGGGGCCTTACCAGAGTGTCGATCCCAGAGAAGGTGTGGTTTGCATCATCCAGGGAGTAGATGAGCTGGTACACCCCATCGTTGGTCTCACTGTTTCCATAGAAACCAACACCCACAGCAGCACTGCATGCAAGACCCCAAACAGAGGTTAAAGGTAACACCCAGGGGAAAACGTTCATGATGTTATTTAAAAGTAAACTTCACACGTGCATGTGCAGCCTCTCCCACTGTCAAAACCCAGCCCCATAGTGGGACATCATTACAGCTGAGCCTAGATGGATGCCGCATTACCCCCCAGTGACACCATGAAGGTTCACTCTCGGAGCTGCACATTCTATAGGTTGGACAAATGGACAGGACACGTGTCCACCATGACGGGATTATATAGAGTAGCCCCACTCCCTAAAGATGCCCTCTGCTCTACCCATTCACCCTTCCTTCCCCTCCAACCTTTGACTTTTTACTGTCTCCATAATTTTGCCTTTTCTGGAATGACCTACAGTCAAAACCATACAGCATGAAGCCATTTCCAACTGGCTTCTTCCAGTTAGCAATATGCACTTACGCTTCTTCCATTACCCCCCAAGGCTTGATAGCTCCCTTGTTTTTAGCACTGAACAACATCCCATTGTCTGGATGGACCAGAGTTTATTTACCCACTTACCTATTAAAGGGCATCTTGATTGCTTCCAAGTTTCGGTAATTATGAATAATGCTGCTATAAACACCCATGGAGGGCAGGTCTTTTACTTTATCTGAGAAACTCTTTCCTGGGGGTTGAGGCCAAGTTCTGGCATGTGGGGGTGGGAGGTAAAGGTTAAGGGTCATATAAAGTCACAGAGCCCTTCATCCCTGGCTGGCTGGCTCTCTGGTATACTTCATTCAGGCAATAGGAAAATACTGTCCTCTGGATCTGTGACTCTGAAAGAGGGGAGACTATGGGCCAGCCCCAGGGATTCTGATTCAGAAGGTCCAGTGGAGCCCAGGCACCTGCACCTTCTCCAGCTCCCATGTGATTCCAATGCAGGTGGACTTGGAAACCACTGAGGTCTGTGAGCAAACATGCCCAGTGCTGACCCTGGGTCTCCCCTGACGCCTCCTGAACTGGGGACCCCTCCCATTCTCCACCTTTCCCCTCACCGCCATCTCCAGGCCACCCATGAGGCAGACCATTCTTCTACTGCAAAGTCCCAGCTTGTAGAATGTTCCTTCTTAAAGGGAGGCAAAACCTGCCTCTTTAAACCTCACACTTGCTGGGTCCTGGCTTGCCTTCTGGGGCAGCCTGGTATAAGCCCAGGTTGTCCCTGACACCCTGTCAGATGCTGGAATGTGGCTTCCATATCATCCTTTCACTTCCTGCTCTCCAAACTGGACAAGTGTCCTTCTCTGAGCTGAGGTCTTCAGACCCCTGTCCCTGTCATCATCCAAAATCAACTCTTAACTGGTCACTCTTAAATGTGGCCTCACAATGAACTGCTCAGGTCCAGGCTATTCACAGCTCTGAGTGTAGGGGCTCCTATCTTAGATTCCATTCCCCCACCAACCTGACCTGGGGCACCCCGCAGGATGTGTCTACAAGCAGCCCCTAAATTTCTCCCCTGAAATTGCTATTAAGCTCAATCTCTCCTCCTTCCTATAGGGTTATACTGATTTTTGTTTTGTTTTAATCAAAAGCCAAATTTAAGTCTTTCCCTATGAAATCTCATCTAGTTGGTTTGAGTCCACTATTACAGCCTGAACTAATCTTTTCAATTTTTTTTTTTTTTTGAGACAGAGTCTCCCTCTGTTACGCAGGCTGGAGTATAGTGGCGTCATCGTAATTCACTGCAATCTCAAACTCCTTGGCTCAAGCCATCTTCCCACCCCAGCCTCCCAAAGGGCTGGGGCTCCAGGCAGGAGCCACCACACCCAGCCATGTTCTTATTTTCTTCAAACAAGACAGAATCTCAGATGGGATCCTCTGGAAATCTGCTATGGAAACTGCTTTGCAGGGTGCTCTCGGGCCTCATTCAGCACTTTGCAGGATGTGGTCTGTGGCCTGCAGGAACCCCCTGTTCAAGTGCAGATAAAAGCGCCCCCCTCACCTTGGACCCACTGGATCAGTGTGGCCTGGGAATGTGCATCGTAAAGCACAGTTCCTACATGCTTGGTGGGTGTCACACACATGCACTAAAGTCTGGCAACCTGCTGTGCCAGTGAGTGTTTTTTGGATTCAATTGGAGTTGTGTCACCAGCTTTGTATCTACTGGCTGTGCTACCAAGCACCATGAAGGCCACCTCCCTCTGCAGTACCACCAAGAGACTGAGGGGCTTCACCACGCACAGGTGGACCACTCATGCATTAAATGGATCTTATTTCCACATCCTACAGTGAGAACTTGATTCATTTATTTATTTATTTGAGACAGAGTCTCACTTTGGCGCTTTCAGTAGAGTGCTGTGATGTCATGGCTCACAGCAACCTCAAACTCTTGGGCTCAAGCAATCCTCCTGCCTCAGCCTCTGAGTAGCTTGGACTACAGGCACCCGCCTGGCTATTTTTTAGAGACCGGGTCTCACTCTTGCTTGGGCAATCCAGCTACCTCAGCCTCCCAGAGTGCTAGCATTACAGGCCTGAGCCACCGGGCCTGACTAGAACTTGATTTAAAGGAAAGTGAAATGCTTTTATTATGCTCTGAAAACCACCTTTTGTTTGGTCCAGTGTTTTACTTCTCTAGCTGTCTGGGTCAACGTCTAGGGCATTTCCCACCCCTCCTCAGAACTCCCTCTCCCCCAGCAAGCTGCTGCCCTGTGGCCCTGTGGCCTTATGGCTTTCCTCTCCTTCTCCGGCAGCTTTGTCCCAGCCTCTCCTTCACTTTTTCCTCTTCCTGAGGCAGGTCTTCTGTGTGTGTGGCTGCCACATGACTCCCAGATTTATAACTTGGACACTGAGTCCTCACTCGGATGTTTTAAACAAACCAAACCTGTGTAAAGCCAAGCCCTGACGGTCTGCCTCTCTTCTGGCTGCCTGCCAGCATCACGAGCCTCTGTGGATGGCATCACGTCCCCCAGCCAGGAAACCAGGAACCTGGGGACCACCTGCAGCGGCTCCTCCTCCTGCACTGCCCCAGCCAACTCTTGGTCCCTGCCTGCAGTGAGCCCACCACTGTCCCCTAGGACCACCCCAACAGCCTGCCTCTCACTCTCTCCCCTTCTGCACTCCCTGCCCTGAGGTCATTTTGATCATCCTTGGACCAGTCCTGGCCCGGAGTCTCCTTCAATCTGTCCCTCCCTGTCCCCTCCTCTGTTCTTCATCACAGGGGCTGACCCCTCACACTGAACCTCTCAGACTCCCCTGCCCATTGACTTCTGGTAGCTTCTGCCAGTGGGGGTGCTGGCAGGAGATGGAGGTGGGAGGAAGGGAAAGTGGGGTCCCCCCACCCTCTCTCTACAGCCACTCCTGAGTTTGCTGTGTGGCTTCAGGCCCACTGCAGATCCTACTTCCCTGGTGACATGGCTTCTCCCTCCATCCCCCAGCCTGTAGGCAGAGGTGGCTGTTGGTAATTTGGGGGTCACTCAATGTCCCTATAAAGACCTAAATTCGTAGCACAGTCTAGAAGCTCCTGCATGGTTTGGGTCCCCTCTGTTCCTCTATGCCTTCCACAGGATCACAGGATCTCACTGCCTTCCGTGGCTGCTCACCTCCCCCCAGCAGCACCCGACCCTGCACCTGCTCTCTCTGCCACGCCCCTCCTGCCCCAGGGCCTTTGTACATGTCCTCTCCCTCTGCCTGGAAGTCATTCCTCCTTCCTCATGCCTGCCTTTGCCTAGTTGGGCTTCTCACCCATGGGTCCCTCGCACCCAGGGACGCCTGACTCAGCTGGGTCACCCACTTTTCTGCCTATTCCCTCCCTCCACAGCGCTCCCCTTAGTTTGCAGTTATTCAAGTCACACCAGTGTGTGGTTCTCTGGCTCTAGACCCGGAGCTAGACCAGGAAGGCAGAGCTGGTGCCTGTTTTCTTAACCCCCTGCTGGCTCCCTCTCACCTGCACAAGCAACATAGAATGCTGTAGAAAGAATCCTGCCACACACGCTCCTGCCTGGAGTTTCCCCTAAATTGCAGGTAATTCTTACTTATTAGAATTGCCCCCACCCCCGCCATTCTTCGCTGTTTCAAAGTATTCTTCAAAAACAAGTTTGGGGTGAGAGTTCACATGAGCCAGGGGGCCCTGTGCAGCAAGCACGGCTGGCTTCTTCAGTGGTCCCCAGGGTCTCACCTCTCCCGGCACATGCCACACAGCTGCACGCCCTGGTTAATGCCATGGTTACCTCTGAGGAGACCTAGGCCAGAACTCTGTCCTTGGAGTCTCTTATTTCAGCCCAGCTGCATGTCTCAGCAGTTCTGGGTCCCTTCCCAGGGTCCAGAGCTTTGTCACCTCTGCAAGTCCACTGCAGGATCTTGCCCACCTTGTGGCCTAGGTGAGCCTCACGCTACAGGCAGGACAGGATCAAGAACATGTTGGTGGTAGTAAAGTGAGCTGCCTAGGGCCGAGCACCCAGGCTCTCCAGGCTCTGTCTGGCTCCTGTCCTGCTGCCAAGTAGTGGAAGATTCTGTTCCAGGAGGTGACCACACCCCAGGGGCACCTCAGGGTGCACACTAGGCTCTTAGAAAAAGCCTCTGCAGGTACAAAGCAGAGAAAGGCCAGGCGAGGTGGTTTACACCCATATTCCCGGCACCTCGGGCTGAAGCAGGAGGATTGCTTGAGGCCAGGAGTTCAAGACCAGCCTAGGCAACATAGACCCTGTCTCTGCAATAAATAAATAAATAAATAAATAGTTTATTTCTGTTAGTTAACAGAAAAAGAAAAATATAACTCCTGAAAACAGCATGCGTATGGACACTGCCCATGGTGGAACGGGCTGAGCAGTGGTTACTCCCACGTGGGAGCTAGGAGAATCTTCACTTTCTCACCCAAAACAGAGAACCACTTGGTAGCACCAAAAGCTACTGATCTCATAAGAAGATGGTCTTACTCCTGGCTGGAGTAAGACCTTCTTCTGACCTTACAGACCTGGGGCAGCAGCTGGGAAGGGACAGGGACATGGGGAGTGGAGCTACCCACCGTTTGAGAATGCTGCCAGGTAAACTCAGAGAATAGCCCACATGCCACCAGGCACAGCCCTGCTAGGCTGGACATACCCACATTGTGGCAGTGACTGAGGGCCATGGGGCTCTTCTCAAGACTTCCCATCACCACTCTAGGCCTCTGATTCCCAATGCAAAATGGCATTCATTTTGGGGACATCTTTTGTGTGTATGTGTGTTTATTCAAGTTCAAGCTTATTAGTAACATTGAGTGGTTTACAAAAATTATTTTTCTGGGCTGTGCCTGTGGCTCAAGGAGCAGGGCACCAGCCCCATATACCGGAGGGAGGTGGTGAGTTCAAACCCAGAGGGACATCTTTTCCACCAAGACTGTGAGAACTCAATCAAGAGAACTTAGCTAGACAGCCAATGAGCTGCTTAGGGCTTGGCGGGGGGCAGAGGTGATATCAAGCCCAGGGCTAACCATCAGTAAGACACATGTGGCTCAAGCCCAAGCCAGTGGGCTCTTCACCCTGCCGTGCTGCAGAGGCGACCCCACCCCTGTTCCCTGGCAGTCTGTGTGCCCAGTGCAGAGGGACACTCACCAGCAGATGAGCCCGGCCACCACGGCTGTCCAGGTGACACAGCAGGAGTGACGCTGCTTGGTCTGCACCATGTCATCTCGCTTACAGCAGCACACACAGACCAGGTAGGCCACGAGGAAGAGAAGGTTTAGGCCCAGGCAGACGGCAGCCACCAGCCCCAGGAACAGCAGTGACTGGAAGAGAGGACAGGCCTATTGTCAGCTCTTTGGCCTGACAGTGGGTGGTTCTGGAAGTGCCCCGCTGCCTGGGCTATGAGCGTGGGATCAAGGCTGAGCTGGGTGTCTGTCATCCACCCTTTCTGTTTCCCCGACTTCTTTCCTCCTACTCTGGCACTGAGGCACCAAGGTGGAAGTGATGGAGCTTAGAGGGCATAAAGACCAGTGATGGTCTTGGTGGCCAGCAGAGGGGAGGAGCTGCCAAGGTAGGTCCCTGCTTTGCAGCTCAGACACCATGATGATGATATGGATCAGGCCCTGCTAATGAAGAGCTCTGAGCTGCTCAAGAGACAAGGCAGGAATTGCCAACTGTCACGGGAGACAGAGGAGAGGAATATTCACAAGGACTAGAGCATCCAGAGGCCTTGGGCAGGACACTGAGTGGGACCTGAGACCCAGCCAGGAAGGGACGGTGCAGAACATCTGCTGCCTCCTCTGTGCAGAGGGTCGCACCGCCCGGGCCTCATTCTCTGCCCGGAATGAAAAGTGCCTGCTCTCAGCATTGGGTCCATCCAGAGATACAAGAGCCGGCTCTGTGTTGGTGGCAGGGCTGGGGAGAGTCGGGCTCTACAACCCGGAGTCCCTTCCCCTATATCCTGACAGAGACAGCTAACCCCAGCTGCTATGGGTAGCAGCCAAATCAGAATTCTGAGGGGGCGGGAGGTGCCTTCTCAGGCTGGCCTAGTGTCTCAGGGTCCCAAGAAGGGAGCTGCTGTCTGTCAGGAGGCCGGGGTACTCCCTCTGTCCTCCAATCTCTTGACTCTGCCAGATGGACACCAGATGGCACCGGGATTGGTGGCCATGAGCCAGGGCTAGACCTGGATAGAAGTCAGTCTTCTGAGCTGATAGCCACCCCCTGCTTCCTATAAGCTCTC